GCCCTACTTTGTATTTAGGGTCTCACATCTTTGCTGAGGCTGGCTTTGAACTTGCCTCAGACTCCCAGCAGCTGGGATTCCAGGCATGTGCCACCCAGGCTCTTTCATCTTTAATCTGTTTTCCAGTTTACATAAACAGGCCTGTTTCTCTGCACCAGTGACAACAGGCTCCCTGCGACCTCGACCTCCCCGGGGTGTCACCCCTTCTGATGGAAGCAGCAGCTAATTCTTCTTACCTCTTTCGCAGCAGCTCATAAACAGCCTTTTCACCACGGAGGAAACCCCCCAGTAGATAAAAAGGCAGGACAGGAAGCTGCTCCAACTGTCAGACTGAGAATCACAGGACCTTTTCATATGGAAGGAGCCAAGTCCACTACAAAGGCCTCACTACCCATCTTCTGGGACAAGGCCAATGTGTTTTTCTCCTAGAGATGGAGGTTTCTCCGCTTTGTAAATTATTGTCATGAAGACTCACTCACCTTGAGCGTCCCTCGAAAACTGTTAGCCACCGGGGCCACCTGGTCCATATTCTTGATTCCAAAATCATTCATCTTGAAAAAGAAAAGGAAATGAAGAGTTAAAGGGGCAACACATGAAGCAGGTTTCCAGGAAGTCCTGGTTGATTCCACAGTAACAGGTAGTTCACACCTGGATTCTTATTTACAGGGCTTTCCTCCCAAGGCGTTTCCTCAAATCAGGTATTTAAATAACAATGCTGACTCCCTACTGAATTCCCTTAGAAATGGTTCTCCAGATTAAGCACCATTTTGGATGGCTGGCACCTTCATGCTGGAAGGCGGCACTTTCATGCTTTTCAATGACATGGGGGGCTGGCAGGGCAGTGGGTCACTTCCTGCCTGCGGGGGCATAGTCCCCTCAACCAAGGCAGCTGCAGGAGGGTTGGTGGCCCCACCAAATAGCTCCCATGGGATCCAGATCTGGAAAAGCCGCCCTAGGAGGAGTCTCAGAAAATTCCCCTTTCTCCCTTCTGCTCTCCAAGATGCCAGGAAGCACAGGCCCAGAAGGGGGGTAAAAGGGAGAGGGTGAGATGAAACCCTTGCTGTCCCAGGATCTTCCTGCTCTGAATACAGAGCTTAAACGATTTCTGCAATTTCCACAGTGGGAGTAATCCCAAATAGGGATCAGCCTCACTGGCTCTGATAAGGTGGGCTGACAAGAGATCTGTGCTGACCAACATGGTCAGCACAAAGATTTAGGAGAAAAAAGAAAAATATCTCAATAACTTATTCATTTACTGCATGCTTATAGAATATTTTGAATCTATTACGTAATTGAAATGTAATGCAATCCATGTCATCGGTTGTACTATTTCTAACATGGCAAATAAGGCCACTGAAGGCCATCCCCCACCCTCCCTGCCTCATGGCTACAGTATTGAAGGCCTTCAACTTGCTCCACGGGCACCCCTAATTACCACCCAGGTCTCCTGTGGGTGCTCCTACCTGTTGCAACTGAGAACTTGAACTAAAATACCGTGCTACTGAGAGAACCTACTGGAGGCAGCAAACAGCACATTGTCATGGAATTATGAGGGTTTAAGCTTTCTCGTTCTCGCTTTATGGTCAACATTAGGGCTAAAGCAGATGTGTCAACAATGCCGACAGCCGACGCACGCACACACACATGTGCACACATCTCGGCTAAAGAGATAACAGAGGCCACAAGGGCTGGGAAGGGCTAAAGGAAAGAGGTAAGATCGCAGTAGCCTTCAGAGGCCGAGGAGCACTGCAATGAGCAAGAAGCCCGTGGGAGCATGCGGAGGGGACTGGCTCGTAAGTGGCCACCCTTGTTGGAGTCTCCACTTGGTGCATGGTGTCAGCAACATTCGCTCAGAAGTCAACATTTGCTACTAATGATGGTGGCCATACCAGAACCCACAGTCACCAAGGGATAAGCCCTATGCTGGACAACCCTGTGTCCCCAGTCCCTGAGTCTCTGCATTTCTAGGCAGATGCTCTACCTCCTTCAAGAGAGGCCACTGAGGCCCAGCAACATGAGTCACTGACCTGGGGCCACACAGCTACTATGGAGGCCTGTAAGGGGCAAGAGTGGGGATCAGAATTCCAGTCGAGGGTGGTCTAAAACCCTGGAATAAGTATGACTATATCTGACAGAGTCTACAAATATTATTAGACCAGGCCCTTTTCACTACCCTGGGACCCGGGAAATGCTAACTTACAACTCTAGGTCTCTAGGTCAGTCAACAAAACCAGCACACCTGGGCGTGTTCAATCACCCCTCCAGAGCCCCCAGACGGCACTTTCTTGTCATGATTTGGTCTACAGACACCTGCTGACTTAATTCTATGTTTTTAGCTTCTGAGATGGACAGAGAATGGATGTGGAGGGCCACTGAAGAGCTCTGCCAGCTTTTGTGTACAAATACCAGGAGAAAAGGCAGCCAGCCTACCACTCCCACATAAAGAGCGTAATTACCATCTGCAGAATAGGATTCTTTTGTTGTCCAGCTTTTAATGAGTTTTGTTAAAAAAACCATGTAGACTTAAAGTGCTCTACTAAATGGTTTCAGGCAGACACACAACTCATCAAATGTAAGTTCACTTATTCTACTCAACCTGCTTGTTAACTCAGCAGGCAGACCAAGTGGCAACATATAAATCAATTTCAAGTTTAGATCTTTTTGGTGCTGTCATTGGCTGCTGCTTCTGAACCAAAAGAAAAATGGGGGTGGGGGGAAGAAAGATGGCAGCAGGCTCAGGACTGAAAATGGTTAAACTGTAAAACAAGGAGAATTTGCCTGACAACAGTATCCTTATTGGAACAAGTAGTCACTTATGTAAGATTAGAGGACAGGTTTGTATGTAGGTATATTTGGGGGTGGGGGGAGAACCCTGTAACACTTCTGCTTCTGGCTTTACAAGCCATCAGTTTAGAGAGAGGATGACTAATCCCAGAAATGAGGGTTTGACTATTTGCCTGCGGGACGCACGGTGTTCACATTTACTGTACTGAGATATTACTCAGAATTTTAATAAAGCTTAACGTGGAGATTGATCTCCGCGATTGGCGGTGGTGTGGGCAGGCGGATAACGCAGAGGCGCTTCCACTGTAGGGAACAAACATAATCGCTTACTGGTGAATTAAAATAAATTACTCCTATCTCCAAAGAGGACTGCTCACTTCTTCACTTTCTAAATAAGTAGCGAGTCAACTACTATTTTAGGCCACCCTGAAACTGAATACAGGCTAACATACCTCCTGCGCTTAAACGAATCTAAAAAACAAGAAATAAAACCACAACCCAAACACACCAGCGAACGCCTTTACCCCTCCATCCAAGAGCTCCAAGGCCAAGGAAATAAAGGCGGCCTCCTGGAGCCTGCACACCCCACCTCGAGAGTGCCCTGTGCTGGCCTCCTAGGGCGAGGGCCCTGGCGGCCCGGACCTGGTGGAGCAGGTGACTCGTTCCAGGGCAGCCGCAACCGCCCAGGTGTTTCGGGCGCCCCAGATCCTCGGGGAACGACGCCCCTCCAGCCGATCACCCCCAAACCCGGGTCCACCTCGGGCTCGCCCTCCGAAGCCAGGGCGCGTATTGGGCAGGAGCCCCTGTCAGGCCCGCGTCTCCTTCCAAACACAAAAGCCAGGGGACCGGCTCGGGGACCTCGGGCAGGGC